AGTTATTCAAGAAACAAGACACTCGCTGTAACATTTTCTTTTGTTGGATACCGTCCCATGTAGGTATACAAGGTAATGAAAGTACTGACAAAACAACAAAACAAGGGGTTGAAAAACCTTATATAGATTACTTAAGAGTGTCTTACGTGGACATGTATGGATTTTATGAAACATTAGCATTCGAAAAAATAAATAAAGGAATTGTGTCCCAAGAGAAACAGTTTTTTGTTTTCGCACAGAAAACAAAAAACCTTAGCTTCACAATAAAAATTTAATTAGAAAACTTATTGTTACTCTACATAGAACTAGATAATTTCCACTTGACAGAATCGTTCAACAAAATAAATGTAGTTTTTTTTTCAATCAGCATTGTGATTAATCGATGCATTTTGAATTTTCGTGTACTTTGGAATATTTGTATTATATATCTATAGGAGTGTGAAATTTATATTTCATCAGTAAATTCGATTTATGAATGATTAATGTGGATAATAATCTGCAAGAATGGAAATATGTCGTTAATAAATTGTTTTGAGAATATAAGACGTTATGTTTTGAGATTATCAGTAGAAATCCATAATTTTATAAGCATCTCTGATACTTAAATTAATATTGTCGTCTTAACATTTGGTTGAAAGAGAAAATGAATTGAACTAAATATACATTGTAAGTAAAGAGGTATGCGGACAACGAAAACTAATCATTAGAATAATAAACCCGTTGAATTTGAAGAATGTGTTTTCTACGAGGGAACGAAAAACACACGATGTTAAATGTATACGCGTACTAACATAATACTAAGACCAGTACCGTAATCAATACTATTAAGTATATAAGGTTTAGTATTGTATAATATAATAGCACAATACATTTTATCAGTCATAGTTTAAATTAATCTTTTGGATAAATTTTCCGATATATCTTAAAATAAGGAAAATTTAATTGGGTTTCGTTAAAATACGGACGTAAATTCTATCTTTATTCATTAATGAATATTTATGAATAGTGTATTTTAAGCAGCTTGATTTGTTCGTATTCATCGAATCTTCAAATTGTCATGTAAATGGTCCAAATAATGTAATAAATTATAGGTAAACACAAGCGAAAGAGCGCGTGAAGGGCACTAAATAATATTAGTATACGTACAAATATTTCATTTATATAAATTTATTGATGTTGTAACGAGCGCATTCGTTAAATGTTACTTTTTAGCAATGCAAACACCAGTAATATGGAAGAGAGAGAGAGAGAAAGGCGCAATGGGAGAGAAGCGAACCACGTGCTTCAACCATCGTCATACATTTTTACGTTACTTCAAAACAACCTGAGACTAAAAATAACCTTCGTTTGCGCGCATTGAACCCTTCGATCCATGCGTGATTATCTACAATGAACCAGAGTGACAGTACGGTGCAGTACCCTCGGACAGGATGAACAACACGAGGACAAAGAGGAGATCGGCCCACCTACAAAAGTTGGCAACGACGTCGAATTCAGCTAGTGGCAATTATCTCTGCGGCTACCCACGACCTTCGGCAATCTCCAACCGATGAAAACAAGGACAGCCTAAAGCTGTCACCTGCAGCACCAGTATTAAGAGGAGCTCTACTTATTCACCTGCGCTAACGTAGCTGTCTGCAGCAGCACGTTTACATTTGGCACGTACATTTTCCTTTATTCGCCGTTGTCTCAGTGAAGCCGACTAGTTGCACGTCGCAGAATGTTGTCGTTCATTCTCTCTCTTTCTCTCTTCTCTCTCTTTAAGTATTTATTTGATATGCGAGCAAAAATTTCTCGGTCGATCAAGTAACAGTGCATTTCTTTCTGTAAAAATAAATAGTGCGCGTACTGCCCGCCTGTCGGATTTATTTTGATTCAACTGACTTATTCAATGCCTTTAAACTTTAGCCTATCTACACTCAAATTCCAACCTGCGCGTCATATCGTGCGTCTCGAGTTTGCGTGATGTCGTGAACGTTTACACGTGCGCGTGCTGCTGTACCCACCAGCAAATCTTGTCTTTCCGTTGCAGATCAAGGCATCGGTGAGCCTCGCACTAAGGGAAAAGTACATTAATAAAGATACAATCGGGGACGGATACTTATTTATTTTCTCCCATTATGATGTACAATATCCTCTTTCTAATTGTTTTACGACAATCCTCGAAATTGATAGACCTTCGATAGAAAATAGTATATTTTCTAACGAGTGCGCGAAAGCTTTTTTGACGAAACAAGAAGTTTACGGTACAAGCCATAGGTGAGTACTGTAACGAGTTTCGTTAAAAAACCTTTTCGCATCAGTTACCGACTGTATTTTTAAGCGTAATCGCCGAAAACAAGTGCCGAAGATGCGATTTGGTTAGCATGCGGAAATATTTTTTACAAGCATTTGTCTTGAGTGAAAACATTAATTATGGCATACAACTTTTATTGGAACAAATAAGTCATTGTATATACTTTTATTGACAAATATTTCTTTTGCGTGGACATAATCATCTTAGAACGGGATTAAATCCTATCTAGACCTGTACTTAAATAGACGATGAGCTCTTATATGGGAATTCAAAGATCTGGAAAAACATAAATAATATCAGAACTTCGGAGCTTCGGAACTCGTAACATTCAGGTAAACTTGGAGATTCGAGTCGACTCGAACCGTCTCGAGCTTTTGATCTTGAACCAAACCGAGTTGAACCTTTCTTGAAGTCTAGTACATACTTTATAATGAACCATATATGTGCCAGAGAGTCTAAAAGAAATAAAAAAAGCAAATAGTTATAAATTAAGTAGGTCGACCATGAACGTCACCCTAGCATGGACAGATATGACTTTTTAATATACATGTGTGTGTGTGTGTTTCGATTGTCTCGTTTTTTTCAATAAAAGGTGACCTAATTTCACGATGTAAATTTTACGATGACTGAGCAAAATTGATGATAAATTCCATGCAATAAAAAAAGCAAAACAAGCAATTTCGTCTATATTTGAAAAGCTTTAGTAACGCTGATAATATATTTTTTGTATTTTTTTTAGAATCATAGATGGTGTACACAAAACATCACCGATTGATTTCTAGGTAGTGACCTCAACGTTGTTGCGGTATAGCCACAAGTTTCATTAATCTAGAGATAAAAGCACATTACGGATAAAATCTAATCGAGTTGGCCTAACGCATTAAATGAAGATAGATGAATGAAGATCATACAATTCTTAATCTATGCTGATACTATTTTTATTTTTGGTTATTCGTCGCAGCACACTGAAAAATTGTATTTGTATAACAAAAAGAATGATTTTGGTACATTATCATACATTGCATACACATTTTAGTGATCGGCCGCTCGATATAACATTAAGAAAGCAAGTCCCCTTGTAGTAAGAGGATCATTTTTAAAAATGAACAATTTTTTTAAAAATGAGGAATTACTCTTACCATAAGAACTTGCTTGAAGCAAAAATTCTTGTTCGTCAATGTTGTTTGCTTTAGGTGCACGCACGCGTGTATACCACTCTGCGACGAGTGTGTACTATTGGCCTGCAGCTGAGGATATGCGAGGTATCCTCTGATGTGCCTCCGACTCCGCGACTACTCCCCAAACGGCGACAGGGTGACGTTCTCGCACGTGTAGTGTAGGCCGCGTGCTGGCAAACGATTAGATGTCCGTCTGGGATGGCCATTCAGACCTCTTTCATTGCGAAGGCATAACGAGCCTCGCCTTGTGAACGGTAGTTGCCATTTGTCAGCGTAAGAACTCCACATTGTATTTTCCGTCATTAAGTTCATATTTTTATATATCAAAATGTATTTTCCTTAGACGTATCAAAATGACTTTTTTGTGTCGGCTTGGCACATTGTTTTTTTTTCTTTCGTTGCATTAGATTAAATGCTCATTTCTTAAAATCACTGAGTTATTTGTTTGTATAAATCGCCCAGCCTAGCCCACATTCTGACAAATACCTTTCACGAGACTTATTGGTACTTTCCTATGCATTTGCCTATCCAAGGTAAAGATATTTATCTTTCCGAGTGTGTTACAGTAATTAATCTGAACGGATGAAATAAAAATAGTTTTGCATAAGTAATAAAGGAAGAATCGTCTGGATAAATAATAAAGAGTGTGAAAGTTGGTTATCCGTGCAGTAAGGCGAAGCTTACTAGTCATTTAACAAAGAAGGCGCTGCGAAAAACTGTCTGGTGGCCTCAGGTCATTCTATTCAGGAATCCGAAGGGAATCGCGGAGATGTTTTATGCATGACTCGAGAACATCTGGGCAGGCTCGCGATCTCCGTATCATTTTTCGGAGCGTTGTAGGGGTGCCCACCTACAAGGAAAGCGATTCAGCTCTCGCCCTCGTTATTCTTTCTCTCACCCTCTCGCCTGCCCCAGCGAGTTGCAGATATATATCTCTCACGGATGGTCGCACTTCGCCGGTTATATCTGCGGAATACAAAGTCTGCTTAGGGATGAAGCTTCGCTCTGCTGCTTAAACTTTTCCGCGCGCGAACGACGCATTTGTCAGGCGAGGATACCGTACTACTCGCGACAACACTGAATGCATCAAAAATGAAATTGGATTGTTACCAAGACGAGAAATTATCTATCTATTTCAAAGTGTACGGAATGAATTATCATTTGTCGTGCATCATATCTTTTATCAGGCATTGCTACCTATACTTGAACTACCTCTTGGAAATGTTTGAAGCGTTTATTCGTGGATTGCTATCGTGTCATTCGTAGCCACGCGTTTCATTTTAAAAGTAGGTAAAAAAAATAGCTGTTTAAAGCCGTACGATGCTTATTCATATTCACACTGAGGAGTTTTGCTTATTATGAGAAGTGGTTGCATACTTTGGCTACCAAATTAATAAACCAAGTCAAACTTAGCTATTCCTAAGCTACGCTCGCATTAATTACACTACTACGATCTGCTGAAGAATGTTTATGAATAGGAGAAACAGATCCAAGTGCTAGATTCAGATTGTGAAAGATGCACTCACCTTGCAAGTAGTAAAAAAGCTTGCACATAACTTCTCCGAAGACCCATATGATCGATACAGCTTGACTTATTGCCATGGGCATGCAGATACAGGTCACCAGTAGATCGGCCACCGATAAGTTCACCACGAAATAGTTGGTTACGCTGAAACACAATTCATTTGATGTGAATTTTGCACGGAACATTGAAAATCTTTTCATCAACTATTTAGTATCATTGCTTAGAACCGTTATAATAATGTAGTATAGTTAGAAGTTACAAGGGCCCTTAGTCCTATCCCTCTCTAATTTTATTTGTGCATTGGTTTTCATTTGATGAAAGTATTCATTGTGAAAACCGATACGGATATATAATTGATAGCATCATCAAGCGTCGTATACTATTTCCAATCAGTTTTATCCGCCTTGAACATGATTGAATGAGGGTGTTGCTCGGTAAGAGGCGTATTCGTTAGAGTGCAATGAGCAATTCCGTGTCACTATTTATATACTGTACAGAGCGTTACTTCACGTTGGCGTGAGTTAACACGCTAACAATAATGAGTTTGCGCCATAACTTGAACAAAGCTTCGAACGAGAAAATGAGCTTTCAGGGCAACGCTCGCTGATGACGCGTAGCATAGGTAGTTTTATTCAGTCGAGCACTGGCATTACGTGCGAGCAGCCACGTAAATGAATGAAGAAAAACAGTTTATTTAGCGAGCGAGCGCTGTTATCGCGTGTAGCTTGCGGCGACGGTAAAAATTGACAGCGTAATAGAATTAGCATGGGACGTGGAAAATAAGAGCTCAAACGAGATCTCGATCACAAATAAGGGCGGCAAGTTGATTGAAATGCAGAGTAGAGGCAAAGAGGACGGAAACGTGCGCGGGAGGGAGCCAGGGAAACGCTAGGGAAGGGGCCAGGAATGCCAGTGCAGTCGAGCGCGCGCCAATCAAGAAATAAACGCTGCTTTCTTGACATCCGGCGCCGGCGGCCGGCGGCCGGCGCGCTCGTTTCTTCGGCGCCCGAGCACGCGCGCGGACCAGTCGCGTGTCCGGACGCCGAGGCTAACGATGCTCACGCTAGCCGAGCTAAGCAAAGTCGAGCGGACTCGACGAGTCGGCCGCGGCCCGCAACAAGTTCGGCCGTGCATTTCGAATTCGTCGCGCGGTCGCGCGTGGGTGGCGAGCCTCGCGTGCTTGGCGCACCGCCCCGGCCGCGGCGCTAATTCTTGCAGCGGCCTATCGACCGATCCCCCCTCCGCGCTCGTCCGCGCCGCTGAATCAAATTGCTCGATGCCGCTTTCTTCTCCCCTGCACTTGCCCCGCTGCCCCAGTCGTCGACTCCCTGCCTGACGACGCGTCGTTCGTTACGCGCCCACCGCGCAATCGTTTGATCAATCTTTATTATCAATCGTTAGCGACTCGTAGCGCCAGCTGCTCGGCTTGACCGAGCGCCGTCCAGGCGCGCATCGGCTACTTTAGCCACTTTTCAATTGAAGCTCTTTTCGACTCGAATGCTCCGACCATTCCTCGTTCCGTTTCAATGGTTACAGGCTGTGCTCGTGCCGGTATGCCCGCTGCGCGCCGCTTACCCGCATCTAATTGGTGCTCCCCGCGCGAAGCTTTCTATTCAGCAGAACTCCATCGAAGACGCTCGTTTATTTACTCGCAAACCGACTGCCCCTACCACTGTCGGTGAATTGCTAAAGAAGCGATTAAACTGCCAGTTCGAATAAAAACTCGCAAGGTAAACCGCCATCCGGGTCGACAAGGCCGCTCGCATCAGATGCTCTCGAAGCTGTTCGTTTGATTATCCACAACCTTTTTTGAGCTTCAAATTGTTGGCTCAGCTGAGGATCTTTTAATGACTCGTAGCAACGATCCCCTTATAAAAAAGTGATGGAAGCCATATTTAAGCATTTTATTCGAGACCTGATTGGCGCAAATGAAAAAAACCGCGAGAAATCAAATTGATTTTAGCTGGTTTTTTATTTCAGATTTAATTTAATTTATTTTTAGCAAAAAAATAAAATATAAAAAATATAATCTTTCATTCATCATTTATAATCATAATGTAATTCGTTGTTTATCAGTTTTATTCCTTATAAAAAAGTGATGGATGCCACGTTGAAGCATATAGTGATCTGATGGCTGAGATATAATTGCGTGATATACTTATGTGTCGGAAAATAAGCATATAGGTGTGGTTTTAAGTTGAGATTTTACTAATAAAAATTCAAATCATCATAATTTATCATACGGATAATTTTGAAGATAAGGAAGTAAAAAAAGTAGACTGTAATATTGTTTATACACTCATAATATGAAACTAACAACGAAGAAATCGTTTCATACAAATAATATAGGTTGAAATTGCTCTAAATATTTTCTATTAATAATCGAAAATTTGATTTTTGAATGTGTAAAATAAAAGTTGTAATGTTGCAATCTTTATTCAAAAAGTAGAATAAAAGCTTAATAATAAATTAACCCGTTGAGAAAAAAATAGTACAAGATTATATTTATTGCAGTTTTTGATATAATAAATCATAAATTTGAACACGTGTTTCATCATTAATACATATTTTCCGCTGTGATATGGGTTTTGAAAAAAAATTGAAAAATCTACCTTTGAAAAAAGTAATTTGTTAAATATGTTAATATTGATATAACAATAAGAAATAAAAAAGAAGGTAAAACGCGTAAAGTTTATCTAATCCTATATATTTTTATTTTCCTATATGAAAAAGTGATGCTGATTGAAGTAATTTTATTTATGACCTGATTGACTGAATTTCGTCACGTGTGTCACAATTATGAGTAAATCGGTCATAATAATAAATCGAAGTACTTTACATCTATCAATACAAATAAGTATAATAATTTGTAGGCATTAAACTGTAAATGACTTCCACATTCTCTCAATGGCCTAACCTTAAAAAAATATGATAAAGTAATCTTAATGCACTTCAATTGCATTTATTTATTGGACATATAAATTAATTGAATATATCTTTATTGTAAAGTTTAGCTTCGGATAAATATGATCAATATTGAGAAGAACGGTAAATTGATATTTTATATGAAATTCTGCGAATTTATTTCGGTGCAGTCGGCACCATTAATTTATTTTAAATAAGTTTTGAAATTTAATTTATAAATGTAAACAAACTCTCCAAATGGCTTAAGATGAACAGTGGAAAAAACAGTTAAATTAAAATAATATATCTGTTGATATGGAGAAATCCTATGGAAAGCTTGATACCAAGAACCAATACGTTAAAAAAGAAACAAAATTAAATTGTTAGGCGCAGCTGATGGTTCTATCTGTGGCGAGCGCACCGAGCATTCGAACCAACATTCGAACGTGGTTGAGAAACAAAAGTGTGAGCATAGCAACGAACATTCATTTCGTTTAATGAAAAAACATTTTCTATAGTTAGTCTGTCAATTGTATTCATAATAAATAGACGTTGTGATATTAACCAATTGACTTATTACTAATAGGAGTAAATACTCGAACAAATAACCATTTATTCCTATATATCCTATCCTTATCCTTGCCTTATATTTATTTTTATTTTTTATTTTTATACTTTTTACATATTTTATTCCTATCTTATCTTTAAAAAAAGATGAGTCGCTGACATCCAACGTTGTGATTTGTTGATGCAAAAATAGAACGCGAAATTTTGAATTTTCCTATACTTGGAAATATTATTACTATTATATATCAAAGAGTGTAAGATTTCTATTTTAGCGATAAATTCAATTTAAAATTTGTGTTAAAATTTGGTAGAAAGAAAAAGAGAATGAATAAAAATAAAATAGAGACTACATATTTATCTTTTGTATATTTAAAATTAAAACGTATGCGAACAAAGGAAATTAATTATCAAAATATTAAACCCGTTAAATTAGAAGGATATTCACGGGTGTTTTCATAGTGGAAGCAAAAAGTACACGATGTTAAATGTATTACTCATACTAATATAAGATTGGACCCATAATCACTACTATTGAATATGTAAGGTTAGTGTTGTATAATAGTACAATAGCATTATTGATCTTAGGTCGAATTAATCTTTTGAATAATTTTTCCGATATATCTTGAAATGAGTAAAAGTTCATAGATTTTTGAGAAAAAATGGGTGCATGTTCTATTTTTATTCATCAATAAATATTGACGTATGTAGTCTATTTTAAACAGCATGACTTATTCGTGTCCATTGAAATCTTGAAGTTGACATGTAAAAGGTTCAAATAATGTAATAAATAATAGCAAAACAAAAAAAAAAACGCGCGAAGCGCGCTAAATAACACTATAGTAACGTATATTATGAATGCGAGTCAGACTGCAGCTTCACAGATATCACGACGTAAGCGTCATTGATTATCATGAAAACAGTAGATCCACGATGTCGTGTTTCATGCTATGCGCTCGTCAATAAAACAGCCTGCAGCAAATCTGCCTATCAAGCGGACATTATCATAGGCAGCTAATTCCACGATATATAATAGTTGGAAAATTTAACTACTGCTTTGATCGGATTTCTATTCAAATGATAAATCAATGAGCCTTTATTGGCAGAAAATGAAAGGATACCCAGTTTTCAAGCTGATAATGTGAGACTCTATTGACATGCTTGTTTTTAAATTGTAATTTTATTATTCAATCCAAATTTGTTCGATTGCTTTTACTAATTATCAACCAACTAATCTAGAACAGAGTGATCAGTTTAATTAATACGTTCATTTTGAACGCAAATTATATTCATAATTACCACGTTTTATCTTGTTTTCTCGGGAATCTTTAAAGTGACATTAACAACGTTTGAAGATACTTCTTGTCATGCATTTTGCTTTTGTTTCGAATATGTCAGTGTCTTCTATCACGGTCTTCTATCAATGTTCATATATTCACTAGCCTATAAAAATAAAATCTGTCACTGATTTCGAATTAGTCCATCACAGCAAAATACTAATAACAAATCTATCTTTGTATCAATAAAAATCAGTTTAACTTAACTTATGTCAAGTTTTTACTTCGCCAAGAAAATAACATTGGTGTCGAAAACGGTTACGACTTCAAGATACACGAGAGAAAATGACAAATGAAAATGGTGATTCGCATGAATACGCTGCTCCGCAAGTGCAAGTT